CCTTAACAGGAAACTATCATCATCATCATCATTCTATAAAATAAGTATTACAAGAAAAATGAATTAATCAATTATATAACTCAAATTTAGTATGAATTAATTATTAATATAAAAAATAGATATTCTATATTATTAAAAATCATGCTATGCAGATGTTGAAATGAATTCTCAATAGCATATTTTACCTTAATTATAATTAATATCAAATCTAAACAAAGTACTTTCTTCTCTTTTACAAAAATGCATAAGATACTTTTTTGGATTTTGCAGTATATAACTTAAGGTTAGATTATAGAAATTCAATATAAAAATGAAAAAGAAAATGTAGTGCACTTTTTAAGAAAATGTATCTCTAACTGACATCTTTGCCTAAGTTAAAATTGTAGATGAACAAATATTTGGAGTCATATTAGAAATATTTCGAAAGGAAAGAGTTTAAGACTCAATTGAATATCTTTCGGATTATGGTAATCAAAATCTTTTGGAATAATTAAACATAAAAGGAGAAAATATAAAATTGGTTCAGAATAAATAGAAATTGTCTCTTTGTCTTAGAAATGATTTGAAAATAATTCTTAATCTCTTAAAAAAATGAAAAATCACAACTTTAATAAGAAAGACTATTATTGTGAAAACAATAAAAGTTCTAAAAGTAATTTAATAAAAAGCATAAAGGAAAATAGAGTAATCATAGAATTTTTGTAATTTTTAGTTCACCTCACATCTATAGATAACACTTTAATATAATCTGGGTCTAATTCATTATAAATATTAGTTTAGTTGAAGGTTGACATTAGAAACTAAAATTTTGAAAATATTAAGTTCTAAAAAATACTTCTTTAGTAGGAGGTAATTTTTTCGGTGTAATTTAAGTGCATCCTAATTTGATAATTAATATAAGTTGAATGAATTTGAATGGAGAATTATTATTAGATTGTAAATGGAACAACTTAAGAATCCATGAATTAAATAAATTAAAAGGTCATACCAATTCAATATAATAAGTTTGTTTTTCTTCTCATTAAAATACATTAGCATCCTATAATTATAAAGTAATTCTTTTATGGGATATCAAAACAGGAAAATAAATAACTAAATTAAATGTTCAGGAGGATTGTGTGAGGTCAATTTTTTTTCTCTTGATGGAAATACAATAGCATCTGATAGTGATGATAAGTCTATTAGTCTTTAGGATTTCAAAACAGGATAATAAAAAGCCAAATGAAATGGTCATAGTGATGATGTAAGATCAGTTTGTTTCTCTCCTGATGGAAATGCATTAGCTTCTGGTAGTGATGATAAGTCTATTCGCCTATGGGATGTCAAAACAGGATAATAAAAAACCAAATTAGTTGATTATACTCCTTATGTCTACTCAGTTTCTCTCCTGATGGAAATACAGTAGCTTCTGGTAGTGTTGATAACTCTATCAGGCTTTGGAATGTTAAGAATGGGAAAGAAATTTCATCCACGGACAAATAATATAAAGATATTCTAGCTTAAAGTACCACTTCACTAGAACAATCTTCTACCAGGAATTTATATATTATTTTTATTTAGTCTCTAATCATGAATATCTTGTTATATCCTAATCAATAATATTGGAAGCATAAGGAACACTTATCTTGAATGGTGAATTAATAAATTATTAAGGGAAAGATTTAAGACCATTATTTTAATCTAAAGGAAGTTGCTTTTTAGAAGACTTTAAGTAAAAGTGAACATATTAGATTCTACCCTTCATCTTCACTTCTAAAGCTAGGTAAGTTCTTATTTTTTAAAGTTTTTTTAGATTATGATGTATATAGGGAAATTTATTTAGATATCATAAAAATGTTATCAATGAATATTTATAGAGATTTAACTATAAATGATACTACTTTAAACTAATATCTAAACAGAGAACCTTAACAAATTAATTAATAATTTTGTAATATTTGTTCATTAATAGTAAAAGATATTTTTATAACAAAGATGAGAAATAAGATAATAAAGTAAAACAATTAGATTGGATGATTTTTTCAATAACTCTACTCTATTTTTGGTAATATTTTCATAACATGTTATTATTATTTTTCAATCGATATTAAAATTATTACATATATTTAAAGACTGAAAAGATACAAGAAGTATGACATTATTGAAAGGATTAAGATTTAAGAAGATAAAAATTATATCTTTCCTGACAACTAACTAACAAATTAAATACTTATTAACTTAAGTTCTATGTGCATTCTAACATACAAATGGGCAGTTTTCAAAATAATTTTCAATATCTATATATAATAAACATTTATAAACCACTGAGATTATGTACACAATTTTTTAAGGAATTAGAACTTTTGGTGATATCTTTAAAATATGGGAACTTTTTAGCATTATTAACACCTTTCTCATTCTTTCATTAAGTGTCTTCCTTACCATTTTCTGGTCCAAATAAGTTGTCAAGTACGTTTTTACTTATACCATCATAACTGGTAGAAGCACCTAGTGTAGAATATTTATTTTCCCAAATATGAGTTGTATCTTTTAATGCATCATATGAAGTGACCTTAATTGTGGCATTTGTAACATCATAATTTTTAAAGCTGCTAATCTTGGAGTACAAAGTTAAGTACATTTAACATTATTAGATTTTAATAATTCACAATATGCTTCCTTACCTGTTCCTGATAGTAGAATCTTAGATGTATTGTTACAGGTTCCTAAATTATATTTGCATTTTTTTTCAAGAGCTTCTAATTCACCCAAAATTTTTGATATTGGATTAGAGATATCTTAGCAATCATAATCTCAACTCGCTTGGGTATCTTTTATATATGTAGACTTCTAATTACTAGTATTTACTTTTCTATTACAATAGTGAGATTTTTAACTGGCATCGGTTGCGAGTACGAGTTTTTTGCCCTTCATATTCGCAAGGATTTGCCTTTTTCTTATTTTGCATATTATAAATGTCCTTTATTTACAAATTGAATCTTCCTTTGCATTAGAATAATTAAAGCATTTAACTGTTTTGTAATTAGTTATCATACAATTGATTATTTTTTCTCGATCTCCTTTAATTAAAACATGTTGTTATATTTACAATACAACCTTTTACCAGTACTGATGCATCCTTTGAAATTCCTGCATCTCCTTCACAAATGCTATACGTCCTAAATGTTTTGAATTATAATTTGTTCATATACTATTTAATATATAGATGGAAAATAATAATAGATATCAATCTTAAAGGTGTATATTAAATTGAAATATATTTACTTTTTACTAATTCACTTAATAAAATTTAAGTTTTTTCCCAATTTCTCTTTGTAATAGTTAGTTTCTTAAATAATTATTAGATTTCAGTAAAGAGCTAAAAATACAATTAATGAATTATCAGATAATATATTAAATGACTCAAAATAATCCAAATCTTGCTTTAATATATCTTGTAATATTAACAATAGTAATTTAATTAGGATTAGATCAAAATAGATTCCATAGCCAGTTTAAGCTAATTCTTATGTTACAGTATCACTTACGAATTTTGGCAATTTAGTTAGTTCTACTTCATTTGGGATTCTCTACCCCAAAATTACTTCACTTTCCTTTAAAAATATTATTTTTTCTATAACCTACTCGTACAACAGTAAATTTAACAATAGTTTGAATTTTTTAATTAAGAAAAAAAAAGTAGTTTTTGTTATCCTTTACTCCAAACTAATTTGTTAAGTATCAACTTGGTAAAATTATGTTCATGGTGACCTTTTTTTTAGCTTGAATCTGTTTATCTCATTAATTAATATTTAAATAAAGTAAGTTAATAACATAGATATATTTATTTATTTGATTAAGATAACTTATATGGTTAATAAATTGTTTTTATGATTTTATTTGATCCGCCAACTTATTATTAACCCAAACAGTGATTTTTTTGTCCATACAATGCTAATCAGCCTGATTGTATTTATGTAAATTCCCTGCTATAATTTAAATGAATTTTATTTTTATTTTAGAAAATCAAATGGTATTATATCATTCAACGATTTAGAAAATCAATAATTTTCATTTCATTTAATTCGATTCTACCAAAATAATTCTCTTCTATTTCAAGTTCTAAAAGTTAATTTAACTACAAAAATTTCTAAAATATTAATTGATATTGGATATTGCAAGCCCTACTTATCAAAATTTATTTTAAAAAAATAAATAAATTTCATTTATTCTAGGAAATAAATATAATATTATATTAACAATTAAAATTTAACCTTAGAATATATTTAATTATAAATAAATCAATCAATAAGTTAAACTTGATTCATAAAATTTTATGAGTGTTGAAGTCACTGGTGATACAATTTTATTGAGAAATCCCAACACTGAAACTTGTGATTATTTTGTCAAGATAGGACAAAGTCTTCCGACAATTTAGGCAAGAAAATAATTAGATAAATCTATCAACAAAGCCTGATGAAAGTCCTAAATTGGATCCGTTAATAATACTCTCAAAAATAAAATTCTATAGAATTTACTTCTTATTATGGCTTAAGAATCCTAGCATACTTAAGATATAAATAATTAATTGAATAGAAAGGATTGAGAGTATAATCCCTAATATATCTCGTTTAAAAATAAATTACCTCTGTATTCATGAGAAACTTGGAAATCTAGAACACAATATTTATAAATTGGTATTTAAATAATTCACATTACTATTAGTAAATATAAATTTCCATGCTTCAACTAAAGTATAATGGATAGCAACATTGGTGACTTTCTAATATTTCACCTCGATATTTGGTGGAGATATTTTCTAAATAATGAGGAAAAATCCTAATCAATACAATTATATAATTACTTAGTAAACAAATAAGCATAACAAACTAAAAACTTTGTTCAGACAGATTTACGTCCTCATGATTCATACAATAATAGAATTGAAATAAGGAATCTAATCGGATAAATTCTCTAAAATTTCCTCCTATCGATTTAATTGATAATACCTAAGAAGATTATTTTAAAGACCAGCGATTAATAAATAGATCCTAAATTAATACGTTTTCTTACTGGAAGTTATCAATAATAAAATATATGAAGATTTTTAATAACTCTAAATTCCCTAGAGTTGAATATATTAATTACTAAATGATAAAATGATAATAACTAAAACTTAAGAGATGCAATTTAGGCTTCTAAAGCTTTACTTTTTCAAAAAATCTTGATATTTTTATGATATAATCTCTAGGAATCATAAATTAATTAGAAACGAAGGCTATCAAGAATAACAAACAACTTGTAGATAATATTTAGAAAGCTACTACAAGAAAATTATGTCTTTTTGGATAAAAGATTTTGGCTAACAAAAGAAGCATGTGTCTTATGATTTAGTCGAACTTAAGTTGTTAATATCTTATTTAAATTGATATAACATTGTGGTAATTATTTTTGAAGAGTTGACTAAACTAGAATTCAAGTTCAATATGATGTAGACTACTACTTGTTCCAATGAGAAGTTGATTTAGGCCAATTATGGTTCTAAGTCATTTTAGTAAATTGATTGAAGCATTTTATGTAGCAAGATTTAAAACTTTGTACAAAAGCAAATTTAACACTTTTCAGATAGGCTTATTGTCTCACTAAGGATGTGCTTAACATCTTGATTCTGTATAAAGGAGCTCAAATCTTAAGTAAAAGAATTAAAAAAAGGAAAAGTTTCAAAATTCTGAGTCTTATCCAATGATTTCATTTTTCTAATTTACCTAATATTATTACATAATAACAATTTCAATGGATGAAAGATCAAATCTAATTTTAACAATTAAAGTGCATATTACAAACTAAAGGATATTAGTAGAGAATTTTTATCTTACAACACCTAATTTAGGCATTGTAATTATCTTTGAAAAAAATATTTTAATAGATTTAACATAATAGTATTTAGAGAATAGGTTGATTTGATAATTGCAAATAAGAATATATTTAAGAGGATCACTTTGTCGAAAATCTAAAGTAAGAAAGCTGTAAAATATGTCTCTGCTTAAGAGAATTTTCAGCTCAAAGAAGCGATTGAACATCCATTAAAAAGTTGGGCACAAATATACCTAATTATTTGAAGATTTTTTTATGAATACAATATTTGAGCTAGAAGGCTTTATTTTACAGTTCTGAATTTTGAAATAGAACACATTTTTGTAAATGATTTGACTTGCCAAAGATTTCACAACTCTATGTTCAACAGCAATCTTCATAAAATACTATTTTGGAAATCAAGAAGCTAAATATTTAAAAAAAATTTTAAATCAAAACCCCAGTCATACTATTATAATATATTTTTTAAGTTGGTTTTTCAATTTTAAATAAAAATAACGAGTTTTTTAGAATAAGTGGAATTAATAAAAAATATGATAATGATTGTCGGAATGAACTTACTTAAAATAAATTCATATTGTCTCTAATGAGTCAAATTGAAATTTAATTGCTCTTTTCGTATTGTTTATATTATCATTTAGTAAATCTTTTAGTATTATAAATGAAATTCTTTTTAAAAAAACAAGTAAGAGTTGCTTAAATAATTAGTTCTACATTTCGATTTTAAACATAATTCAAAGATTGATTTTTGGTAATAATTTCATTAGATTAGGATGAGAAAATTGAAAAGTTCAAAAGCTTACTTTTTTGTATTAGAAACGACGCTTCAAATGATTTTACTCATTATTACCATACGTAAATGCTGTTTCTCATGGCTTTTATATAAACAGTATAGAAAAAGAAAATAGAATTAGGCAAAAAATGATTCAAAAATACGAAAGCTTTTCAAACAATTTAAGCTCAAATTATAAAGAACAATAAAATTTTAATTAATATTATGCTTAGGCAAACTTAAATATATATTTTTAAAACTTAATAGGACCCAAAAATATGTGGATAATTTTTTCAATAGTCAATCTCTTATTTTTTAATTAAATTTGTTGTTCTTTTGCACTTCTAAAGATTATAAATTTAATAAATTAAATTCCAAAATTCTTTAACAGATAATATCTATTTTCTATTTTCTCAAATAATTTAATTCTCCTCAGTTATATCATGTTAGATTAAAAAAAAATTCATTCATAAATAGAATAGTTACGTTATAATTCAGACAATAAATCTGTCCAAAAACCTTTTCTGCCAAAAAATGCTATGTAATAAATTAACTAAGAAATTATAATTTTAATCTTTGCATAAATATTTTCACAATTTAGTATTATAAGTGCAAAAGAGGATGCCTCAATAAAATAAAAAAGAACAATTAAGTTATAATTGAATTTCTAGCATGAAAAAATAAGAAAAAATTTGCCATCATTCCTGATCTATCCGTTCAATAACAAATGAAAATCTTTATCTTATATTTTATTTTGATGAGAACATTTTAATTTAATTATTATTTTTCTTCTTATTTTTGAAAATTTGAAAAACCCATGCTGGAGGGAAACCCAGTAACTAGCTAGTCAAGAGATCTTTAAAGATGGAGGGAAGGGAGATTAGGTCTTTAAAAATCGATTTTAAGGTATGAAATATTATTTCACTTTCCATATTCATGGCTTCCTTCTGATTTTCTGAACCTACTTCTGTAATCAATCGATAGGAATGAATTTATCCAAAAACTTAGAGCCTGAACTCATACGCTGATTCCTTTAATTTTGGAATTGTTCTATTTCCAGAAAATTCTTTTTTAATACCTTATTGGTATCTACCTAAGCTCACTGTGTTAATATATTTATCATAATTATTTACATTGAATTACAAGAATGATAGGAGAACAGAGATATTTATAAGGTTCCTATGATCATCCTATATCGTATAAAATTCAGTAATATTAAATCCAATCCTTTGCATTTCAAAATTTATTATATCTAAATCAAGACATAGCTTTAGGTTTAAATTCTAATAATCATTCATTATTAATCTTAATGTATAGTTTAATATTGAAGAGGGTTAATCTCATTTTTAGAGATGAAAAATAAAATTATTTTAACTCTATCCAGTAATTTTAAATTTACGAAAATAGATTTGGGTAATTTCTTAATCAATTTAAATAACTTAAAATTTTTCTGGTGAATGAGTTTATATAAGGGGTATTGTTGTCTTGATAATGTAGGTTTGGATTCACATAGAGCTTATGTTAATCAGTAATTAAGATCATTAGATGGTTATTAGGGGAGATATAATTATTTCTTTAATTCTTAATCCTTCATATAATATCATACTTCTTAATGATTAATATATCTTTTCGGTTGATTCCAATATGAAATAATTTTTATGTCAATTTATAAGTAAAAATAAAAGGTTACAGAATGCTTTTTAAAAATCATTCTATTTTATTTGTTTAACTTTTTTATTGTTTATATTATTAGAGGGTTAGCTTTATTCTAATTCATGAAATATCTTTTTTATTATCTTTGTTATTAAATATATCTTTATGATTTATAAACTTAAAAAACTAAAATTTAGAACTATCATAATGTTCTAAGTCCTTTTTAAAGAATGAAGTTTTGTTAATTTACTTTTAATTATTTTTAAATAATCATTTAACACTTTATTCTAAACTCTTCGGTGTGCTCGGTGTTATCCATTAAATTATCTGTAGAGTATTATATAATGTAATATCATTTAAATTTGAATATTCTCTAAATATTAATTTTTTATAATTTTATGACATGTGAATATGAATTGATTACACTAGACTGACCATAGATTGCTATAATATTAAAGAAAATGAGGTGGATATTTAACTGAAATAGTATAAAACTTTAGAAATAGGTACTGATTCATCTTAAGTAGTGTTGATATAAAGCTGAACTGATGATAATTAATAATTCTTAGAAATTGATTGTAATAATAATTGTATTGTTATTAATAATAATCAAGATCTCTCTTACTTAAAATTTTCTAAAAAGCAACTTCCTTTTTGTTTTAAAAAGGTCTTTATATCAATACCAGATTGATTAATAAATTCTCCTTTCAATATTAGAGCTCCTTAGGCTTAGATTTTTTGTTATTGAGATATAAGGAGTGTTGTTATATAAGTGCTGATAACTAAACTATGATAATAAATGAATACCTGATAGAGGATTGTTCTAAAATGGTGATGCTTTAAAGTTAGTAAGAATATCCTTATAAATTTTATCATTGGGTAAAAATTCTTTTCCATTCTTAACATCCCATAATCGAATAGAATGATCATAACTACCAGATGCTAATGTATTTCCATCAGGTGAGAAACAGACTGATATAATTCCATCAGTTTGACCATCTAATTTGTCTTTTTATTATCTTGTATTGACAGCCCAAAGACGGATAGATTTATCACCACTACCAGAAGATAATGTATTTGCATTAGGAGAAAAACAGACTGATTTAACATAATCACTATGTCCATCCAATTATGCTTTTTATTATTCTGATTTGACATCCCAAAGACGAATAGATTTATCATAACTACCAGAAGCTATTGTATTTCCATCAGGAGAGAAACAGACTGACATAATTTCTCTAGCATGTCCATCCAATTTGGCTTTTTATTATCCTGTTTTGACATCCCAAAGACGGATAGAGTTATCCCAACTACCAGAAGCTAATGTATTTCCATCAGGAGAGAAACAGACTGACATAATTTCTCCAGCATGTCCATCCAATTTGGCTTTTTATTATCCTGTTTTAGCATCCCATAGACGGATACACTTATCATCACTACCTGAAGCTAATGTATTTCCATCAGGTGAGAAACAGACTGACCATACAGTTCCTCCATGACCATCCAACTTGGCTTTTTATTATTCGGTTTTGACATCCCAAAGACGGATAGACTTATCATAGCTACCGGAAGCTAATGTATTTTCGACAGGAGAGAAACAGACTGAAAAGATTCCATTAGTATGACCATCTAATTTGGCTTTTTATTATCCTGTTTTGATATCCCATAGACGAATAGATTAATCATTACTACCAGATGCTAATATTTTTCCATCAGGAGAGAAACAGACTGACATTACCCAATTCTCATGACCGTCCAATTAGGCTTTTTATTATCCTGTTTTAGCATCCCATAGACGGATAGACTTATCATCACTACCTGAAGCTAATGTATTTCCATCAGGAGAGAAAGAGACTGACAAGATTTCGCTATTATGACCGTCAAATTTGGCTTTTTATTATCTTGTTTTAACATCCAATAAACTGATAGACATATCAAAACTACCTGAAGCTAAGGTATTTCCATCAGGTGAGAAACAGACTGATGAGACAATATTCGTATGATCATCTATTATGGCTTTTTATTATCCTGTTTTGACATCCCATAGACGGATAGAGTTATCATCACTACCAGAAGCTAATATATTCCCATCAGGTGAGAAACAGACTGATCTAACATAATCACTATGGCCAACTAATTTGGCTTTTTATTATCCTATTTTAGTATCCCATAGACGGATAGACTTATCACCACTACCAGAAGCTAATTTATTTCCATCAGGGGAGAAACAGACTGATAATATTCGATTAATATGAACATCGAATTTGGCTTTTTATTTTCCTGATTTGACATCCCATAGACGGATAGAGTTATCATCACTACCAGAAGCTAATATATTCCCATCAGGAGAAAAACAGACTGATCTAACATCATCACTATGACCATCCAATTTGGCTATTTATTATCCTGTTTTAACATCCCATAGACAGATAGACCTATCACCACTACCAGAAGCTAATATATTCCCATCAGGTGAGAAGCAGACTGATTAGACAGTGTCAGTATGACCAACCAATTTGATTATTTTTTTCTTTATTTTGACATCCCATAAACAGATAGAGTTATCCCAACTTCCAGCAGCTAATGTATGTCCATCAGGAGAAAAACAGACTGACATAATTTTTCCAGCATGTCCATCCAATTTGGCTTATTATTTTCCTGATTTGACATCCCATAGTCTGATAGTGTTATCATCACTTCCAGAAGCTAATGTATATCCATCAGGAGAAAAACAGACTGAATTCACTCTATGATCATGACCATTTAGTTTAATTAATTCGTGGATTCTTAATTTGTTCCATCTACAATTCAATAATAATGCACCATTCAGATTGATCCCATTTATGTTAACATTTTCTAATTCTGATCCACTTAAATTACATCGAACTAAATTAGCTCCTACTAAAGAAGTATTTTAGATTTTAATATTTTCAAAATTTTTGTTTCTAAGGTCTACCTTCAGCTAAACTAATAAATATAATGAATTAGACCCACATTAAATTAAAGTGTTATCAATAGATGTGAGGTAAACTAAAAATTACAAAAATTCTATGATCTATCTATTATGCTTTATGCTACTAATAAGACTTAATATAGATTATTCGTTTTCTTCAGAAGAAAAATCTTTCTTATTTAAGTCATGATTTTTTAATTTTTTTAAGACATCTGTAATTTATTTCATGTCATATCTAACAACAGACAATTTTTATTCTGTATCAGCTTTCGATAAATTCTCTCCTAATTGTTGGATTTATTACTCTAATTGTCTTTGATTCTCATTATCTGAAAGATATGCAATGCAATCTTAAACTTTTTCCTTTCGTAATATTTTAAATATGACACAAAAGATATGTTTATCTACATCTTTTACTTAATTAAAGATTTCAGCTAAAGCTTTATTCTCTTATAAAGTGTACTGCATTTATTTGTTATTTTAATATATTGAATTCCTAAAACTTTAAGTTTAAGTTATATACTGCAAAATCGAGGAAAGTATCTTATGTATTATTGTAAGATTGAAGTTCAAGCGTTTTGTAGATCTGGAACTGATTATAATTAAGGTAAAATATGCTATTGAGCATTCAACATTTGCATTGCTTAATTCATGAATAATATAGAATATGTTGATTTTTATATATACATAATTTGAGTTCTATAATTGATTGATTCATTCTTCTTGTTGATCATCTCTATTTAAGCATAATTAATGATTTCTGTTAATAATTTAAAGATTGGAATAAGTTGGAAACAAATCTTGTTTAATCCTTAAAACATGTAAAAAATCCATGATTTTACAACTTGAATAAGTGAGTAAAAGTGCTTAAAAACAGTAGATCTTTCTAATTAGTATCAATAAATATGAATAGTAAGGCTCATAAATTCAGACCTATTTTATGAGATTTGAATTGTAGAGCTCATAATGAGCCGTCGGACTGTTCTTGATGTCTTAGAAGATCATTAGAGGACAGCAATAAGGATTTAAGCTAATAAGATTGTCATAAGAATTGGGTATTTTTTGCCTTCAGATAGAAAAATATGAGCTATTAATTGTAGAGATAACTCTGTTTTTCAATAAGTGTGTTAAATGAGGATATTAGGGGAGCCAAAATATATATGGTTAGAGCCAATATGTTAAAAAGGATAAGTCGATCTGATTATGATAATAAAATGTTAAAACAAGAAAATAAAAAGCAGAATTCAATAGTCATAATTAGTAAATTAGCTCAGTTTATTTCTCTTGATAGAAATATATTATCATCTTTTTGCGCAGAAACTATGGGTCAATTTTTTCTCCACATTTTCTCTCTGACCTTCATTTATGCCAAGATGAGACTTAACTTTGATTTTAGAATCTTCTTTTATTAGACTCTTGGGATTTATTATTTAAATTTATTTTATAGTTATATAGTAAGAAGAATCTAAATACTAGAAATACAATAGAATCTATCTTAAGTTATAACAATACATATAGTTGTTATTGTTTATTGTTTTTAATCTTGTAGACTAATAATATAATATAATAAACTAAAACTCAAGATTTGATTAAATATTTATAAAATTAGAACTTTTTAGAACATTTTAATTTATTATTGTCTTAATAATAGGTTTAGAGAATTAAGTATTATAAAAATTATTATTATTTAAA